CGGGCCAGCTACAGCAGCAGCAGCAACACGAGATGAAGGTCCAGTCGGATAAGTTACATAATATTTTTGCCCAGTTCGCTAGGGGCCAGCAGGCGATCCCACAGACGCAGGAGGAGTCGGTCCCACATACACTGGCGCCGTCCCCTGTGTGGGTGCATACGCAGACACAGCAGGGTACGCATGCGCCAGATACTATTCCTGTGCCAATCTCATCTGAATCTGAGACGCTTGAGAGGACGGCTACATTCGCTTCATGTGCATATTTCGGAGAATTTCAAGAAGGCCATTTGCGACCAGCAGAGCATCAACACGGATGATGCAATGGCAGCAAAAGAGCAGGACTTCACCAACCTCGAGGCGCATCGCAAGCTTGAGGGAGACTCGGACCTGGATGCTGAGATCGGTCGGGAGATGCGTCAGAGAGATGTTGAGGCAGCACAGAGGATTCGAGAGGACAGTGAGTTAGTTGCGCACGGGCAGGAGACCGTCAGCTGGGAGGCAGCAGCTGCCATGCAGGTTCCCCCCCCCTCCACCGCCTGCGCCAGCTGCCGCCCAGCCATCGTCGCACTGGTGGCCATCGACGTTTCCAGGTCTTCCGCCCTCGCCTGATCCCAAGTCTCTCCAGGTCTTTGATATCGCGAACGACGATCCTGACGCCGAGGAGAGGAGGGGCTCGTCGGACAGGAGTAGATCAGAGGAGGGCAGGGCGCATTGCATAAGGCGCGGCAAACCTGAGGACCTCTGCGCGAGTTAAGCGGCGCGTGTAGAGGCGGGCTTTCACATGCCAGGCAGGGCGCTCCACGGAGGAGCGTAGCGATCGGCTTGCCCCTATATAAGCAACAGCGGCGACGCGTGCATTTTGCTCAGGCTGTTGTGTCGCGTACTTCTGTGGCTCAGGATGGGGTGCCCGCCACAATCGATATTTTGCAATGCAGCATTGGTTGTTCGTCGTTGGGGGAGTCGCATGACGGCCAAGGCAGCGCTGGGGATGTGGGCCGCCTTGGCGTTGGCAGTTGTCCACAGGATGCGAGTCAGCGCGCAGTTAGATTTAGCGGCGCAGGTGGCTGCTGCCGTAAGGCGCCGGGGCGGCTAGCTGCATCATCGCGCACTCCCCAGCGCGCGCAGGCGCCGGGAAACCTGGGGCACACCTGTGAGAGGGGCCCCATTCATGCCCAACCTGGCCAACTTTGCCGCGGTCTCAGAGCTTGGAGGCAGCCCCATCAGCAACACCGATAGTGTTGTTTTCTGTCTCTGGAGTTGAAGGTCTGGAGGTCGCAGCCTCCACGAGCGCAGCGAATGCTGCCGCTTCATCATCCAAGGGTGTGTCACCAGTCAAGTGTATCATGACGTAGCCAGAGATGTACCAGAGCGGCCAGACCAGCATTGGATCACCAACTGCAGTCTGGCACTTACAGACGTCGTTTAACTACGTCGGCACGTCATTCGCATGCACCCCCCGCGCCAAAGTCGCGGCGCGAACAGTCAAGTGTTTCACCACATCTACTCCGATGCCTCCCCCTCCCCCTCTTGCAAGGAGAATGCGGCGTTCGCGTTGGTTCATGTCACCGAGGACCTAGATGGCTTCGCGCGCGTGGGCTACGTGGCTGCGCGGGCCCAGCATGCTCAGGACATGGACAGGTTGGACAGTGCGCAGGTAGAGCTCATTGGCATCCTATGGGCAGCGATCTTCTCTCTCCAGTTATCATGGCATCAGCAGGTCTGTATCACTGCTAAAATATGGCAGCCGTCGGGAAGGCAGTGGGGCCCACCAATTTGGCCAGTGGCTTGGACCGCGTGGTCGTCACCATCGTCAGGGATATCCAGTTGACTCGCCCATTGCGGGTGATTCAGCAGCCTGGTCATCGCGACCATCCGTGGAACGAAGCAGCGGACGCAGTATCGCGGCATCTCAAATCTCCGGGTGGGCCCGAGGCAGCGCCTTGGCGCGGGCGCGGCATGGTTGTCGAGGCGCAGGTGCAGGGGGCATCTGGGGATCAGCTACTTTCCATCGACTCACCTGCGGTCTCAAAGGCATCAGTGAGGCTCGAACTCAAGTATGCGACATTCTATAATGTCACCGCGTGCTCAGCTGATGGCGCTGGCGACCAACAATGCGTGTCCAAGGGTGGGCGACGCCGTGGCCAGGGGGCCAAGGCGCAGCACCTGAGACTACAGTTGCAGGACGAGGACATCATGTTTGTTGGCGTGCAGGAGTCTGGCTTCACGCAGTCCAATGGTTTCTTGTGCCCCAGCTCTGGCTGTGAAGGCGCGGGCGCCCCTTGTTGCGCAATGTTGCCGCGCCCTATGCGCGTGGGCAAGAGGGCCCCCCTCAGGTATGAAGCAAAGCACTTCCAAGTTGTTCATGCTGACACTCGAGTCCTGCTTGTCGTCGCACGCGCACCCCTCATAGAGGAAGCCGTTGTTGTCACGCATGTCCCGAATGTTCGCATGGGTTAGCTCTCCGCCACGCCGCAAGTTCAAGGGCGGTGGAAAAACGCGCGCGAGGTGCTTGCCAGGTTTTCTCCCGCAGCTGTCCGCGCGGATGCCGGCGCCAGGATGGGCCTTGAGCTCTCGGACGTCTCAGCACCGATCGGCACGACGGGGCCATGTCGATTACAGCGGGGTGCAGTTGCAGCAGCTTGCAGCATATCACGGTCTCCACATCTAACACCCTGGTCCAGCATGCGCCAGTCGACATTCAGAGCAAGGCAAGGTACGTTACACCGCATTGACTACATACTGTTGAGTCACCAGCTGCATGCGCGCGTTGGCAGGTGCTACGTCATGTGGGACATCGACTGCGGCGACCACGAACCCGATCACTGGCCTCTTATTGCGAGCATCCAAGCAGCCAGGCATTGCGCCTGTGGCAGGGAAGGCCAGATTGGACAGATTTACGTTGGCAGACCCCGTCAGGATAGACAAATGGCGGCAATGCATTCATTGAGCGGGCGCCGGTGCCAGCATGGGACGTCGGCGTTAATAGTCGCGTTGCCTCCTTCAATGAGCTGGCGCTGGGTCAAGCGAAGGTGCTTTTTGAAGTGGACAAGTTCTTGGCGAACAAGAAGTATGTCTCATGGGGAACCATGCCATCCATTGGGATACGCAGATATGCAAAACGGGCTCTGGTTGCTGAACTTCGAGCGTCGGCAGAAGCCCTCTTCCTACTTGGGCGGTTGTTTCCACGCAGTATTGACTAGTATGTTCCAAGCGACAATGGAGAGGGCGGCTGGCACGTGGAAGCTACGAATGCAGATGCTCAAACCTGGAGGTCAGCTATCTATGCATTGGCCATGGCTTGTGATCTTTTCCAGGCAGAGGTGTCCTCTGCATCTGACCATAGGGGCCGCGTCGGATGCTTCCTGACCGCGACGGCCAAAGCACTTAAGAGGGCTTTGGCATATGACAGAGCGAGGTTCCTCACAGATCTTGTGGGCAAAATATCGGATGCGGCAGTGCTTCGTGATAGCCAATTGGAATGGAAGTGGTTGCACCAGTTACTGCGGTTCAGTGGGAAGGCGGCAAAGCGCACTGGTGCGAACGTGCTACCTATGCAGCTTGGGATGGACGGCATGCCGGTACAGTCGCATGCAGAATGGGCAGTTGAGCGTCGGGAGTACTTTGCTGAGTTCGAGGGCGGCATCGTGTTTTCACCGCAGGGCGTAACAGACGTGTACAACCAGAGGGCAGTTGCTGGCGTTTCCTGTGCGCCCTTGGACTTGGCAGCCACCCCGTCGCCTGCCTGGCTGTTAACGCGTATTCGGTCGGTCAAGGCGTTCGCAGAGCCAGGTCCAGATGGCGTTCAAAATCCCGTTCGCACAGCTGCCCCTGATGTAATCGCCCCCCACTTGCACGCCCCCATCGTGAAGTCCGCGCTCGGGCTGCAGGGGGCTGCAGTCCGCGAGGCGTCCTTCTCATGCGGGCTGCGCGAAGGAGGTCGCGGCCCACGGGCGGTCGAAGGGCATCGCTCCATCGCGGTCAACTCGGAGGCCGCCAAACAACATCATGCGTTTCTGAGGGCTGCCTTGACCAAATGTTTTGAGGCAGATGCGCGGGCGCGGCGGCGCAGGCGGCGATAATATTCAGGGCTCCAGCGAAGAACCACAATGTCACGGCAGTTATCACGTTTGATAATTTTGTGTTTGTTTTTATATGACGCCACGGCAAGCGGGCTTACCCATGCGAGGGGCTGGGCAGCACGCCGACAAGTTCATCGACGAAGCTCCCGCCATCGCTTTGCCTTTATTGGAGATGGTTGTTCAGACACCTGCGCTTGCGGACAAGGATATCAACCCGCACGTATTGGCTCAAGTCGTCGAAACGCATCTAGCTGTGCATTTTGTTGTCCCTGGGGGTGCGGCATGGGCTATGCGCAGAGAAGCATAGGGGCTGACAATCCCTCGGCAGAAGGTATGTTCAATGTTATCGATGTCAGGCCATTGCGGGGTAAACGAGATGAGCTCATTGCGGAATGTAGGACTTTTGATAAAAAAGAAATACGAGGAGGCTCAAGTGTTCAGTCAAGGGCTTCTGCATCCACCGCATGTTTTCTCTGACGCCACTTTTTGTTGGTGACGCAGGCGCATGCGCGCCATGTCACACAGCTGATATTTTTCTCACATGCTGCAAATGTTGGGGGGGGTTGTTCGCGAGTGCATGATTGGCTCGGGTTTCATATCGAATTTTGCGCGCGGTAAGTCAGCCATTAGTTTCTGCCCCTCTGGGCCACGCAGCACATATGCCAGGAGGAAGCTTGTGAACAATGTTGCTGTCAAGTTGGATGCGGGTGGTCAAGGTCGGGTCTACACCGAGAAGACGCACACGCATGCGGGGATCATCCTGACAAGCAACGGCGTGGAAGGACCCGGAATCGCAAGGACAGTTGGCAAGCGTACGGCAGCTATGCGGCCCTTGAGGGCTGCGGTTTTCAGGCGTCAGGTTTCTGCTGCCCGCAAGGTCAGGCATGCGATGCATTCGCCGGCGCGCGTTTGTTCTTCCAGGCGGAGTCGTGGGGCGCCATCTCCAAGGCCACTGAGGCGAAATTGCAGCGCGCGCTCGTCTCTGGGTGCCGCGTGGCCACGAAGTCGCCCCACTCCGCCATGGCGCTGGAAAGGAAGACGAACGATTGGGCGTTCTGCGAAGTGCCATGGTGTGGTTTCAAAGACGTGCTTAGGTTTCGCAGGCTCAAATACATTGCGAGGCTAATGGTGCATGGGCCGCCTGTGCTCCAGCGCTTGCTGGATCTGACGATTGACATGACAAGCTCATGGGCGCAGTTCATGCAGCAGGATCTGGAATGGTTGCGTAACTTCGCTGACGCTGGACGTGGCGAGGACACGCTCAGCTATGATGAATTTCAGGTGTGGGCGAGATTTGCCCGAAGGGGGCATGGCAAGTTTAGTGGTGCCCTGCCTTGAAGCTAGCGTGGAGGAGATCGGCATGGCGCACCAGGCAGGAGATTGGGAACGCGTGGGTTACCAAGAGGGTCCAGCACATGCTGGACAAGTCTGTCCAGCAAGCTGGAGGTGCTGCGCAGGGCGGCATCGCCTACCTCTGCTACGAGCGTGGGAAGGCGTTCTCCACACCAGCAGGATACAGAGGACACTGGCGGCGGGTGCATCAGCCCATTGACCTGGCCCAATTGCACGCGAGAGGTTCCCAGTGACAGGCTTGCGGTACGGAGTTTCATGTACGTACTGGGCTCATCGAGCACCTGAGACGACCTGGCCCGGGTTGCCTACAAATGTTGGTAGGCACTGGCGTACCTTTGGGATTGACAGAGGCGCTGGCGCTACGTGAGCAAGACCTGATACTCGGACGAGAGCGCCCAGCTGTTGGGTATGCTCCAGGTGTTGCCCTACATGCGGCGGTGCCAGGTGATACCACTCGCTTCGCGAGGGCTGAGGATGCGCGGGCGATGCCGCCAGCCGTCCAGATATGCCCTACCACCTCAGCCATGGCTCGGCGCCGCTGCCTGCTGCGACCAAGACGGTCTATGTTGTATTATTGCCCAAGGGCCCGTATGGTTGTACTATATATGCCAGACCATTGCGTGGCCAGAGAGCGGGTAGCCCGCTCCATCCTTACTCATCCCCTCCCTCTTGCGCATGCGTGCGTTACTCCGCGGGGACTTCCTTTCATGGATGGGTAAGTCAGTTAGTAAGTAAGTATGTAAGTAAGTAAGTAAGTAAGTAAGTAAGGAGGAGGAGGAGGAGGAAGAGGGGACGGAGGAGGAAGAGGAGGAGGGAACAGACGGCCGCAGAGATCCTCGCGCTGAGCGTTCCTCGTTTTCCTCTTCCTTCCTCGTCGTCGTCCTCTTCCTCCTCCTGCTCCTCTCCTCCAGTTTCACGCAGCAGTAGCAGTACGGTCGGACCGAGGTAGAAGATTGAGGTCGTTTCGGTGAGGGTACCATGATGTTATCCGTATGTGTTGTATGTTATTGTGCATCTAGGGAAACCTTCGCTGGCCTATGTTTAGTTTTTGTTGGCGCTACCCGTTCGGTATGCTGCGATTTAATGTCGACGATTCAGTTACGAATTACATCCGACTCTGGTGTGATTTGTTCCTTTCCTGGACGGAACTTCCCGTTTGAATTGTCTTCGCCATTGTTGCACCTCCTTGCGTTTCTTCCTTTCCTTCCTCTTGTGTCAGTTTTTGCCTGGTAGAGCTCTGTGTCCATAAGTTGGGAGGGTGGCGCTATTCATATCGGGCTGCACTGTGGGATAAGAGCCGCGTCTAGGGGCAGGCGCAAAAGGGATGAGGCCCCTGGCGACTACCGTCGGAGACTGTTCAAGCCCTTCTTCGCTGGAGGCAAGGTGAGAGTTGCCGGGCCAGGCAGCGCAGGTCGGGAGTGTTGCCCGAGCAGGTACTGCAGAATGCTATGTGTCAGCTCTCGCGCCTGGGCGCTTGCCCAGGGGAGTCTCTGGCGCACGGCTCTGATCGTGTGCCGCTTGTTCCGCCCTGCACACAAAGAAACGCTGCTGCTTCTCAGAGCTCCGCTGGTCTGGCCAGGGCATCTTGCAGGCGCCGAGCGCGGGATAACCAACACTCGTTGCGCAGGCGTGTATCCTTCTTTTCTCCTTCTTCCCTCAGAGGCGACGATAGGGGCGAATGGCCCAGGGGAGAGCAATACATGTATTCAGGTGCGCCGATGATCGATGTCTTCGACAAGGCTCCAGGGCGAGTGCGTGTGATGCCCGCCCCTGGGCTATTTGCCCCTATCGTCGCCGCCGGTTCGCCTGGCCGCAAAAAGGGGCCAGTCGGCCAGTCGGCAGCCCCCCCCCCGGGGCAGCAGGTTCGGGCGCAGAAAGAGCTTTGGTCGCGTCCGCCGTGGCGCGCCCATCGGGGGTCGCCCCTCGTGGCCGCCCTCCGGGGACATTCATCGGCATGCTTGCTCCAATGCCCGCCGCCGAGTCAGAAAGTAGGTCCCCCTATCCCCTATCTCCCTCATCACTCCCTCTCCCTCCCCTCTCCCTCTCTATCCCTCTCCCTCCCTCTCCATCTCTCCATCTCTCTCTCTCTCTCTCTCTCTTTCTCTCGCTCCTCTTTCCCTTGCTCTCTGTCTTTCTCCCTCTCTCTCTATCTCTTTCTGTCGCTCTCCCTCCCTCCCTCCCTCCCTCCCTCGCGGCGAAGGTGACGACGACGACGGCGACGACGACGACGACGACGACGGCGGCGACCACGACGACGACATCCATGCAGAGATCTCTGGAGGTTTCTGGAGGTCCCTGGAGGTCTCCCCGGGACTCCTCCCCCATCTCCTGCCTCTCCGTCGCGCTCCTCGGGAAGGGGGGAACGGGAGGGGTGGTCTGGGCCGTCGGCGGCACCCCGGTACGCCCGCTACAAAACCCCCTTGGAAACTCTGGGAAGGGGTGGGAGGAGGAGGGAGGAGGAGGATGAGGAGGAAGAGGAGGAAGAAGAGGATGATGAGGAGGAGGAGGAGGAGGAGGAGGAGGAGGAGGAGGAGGAGGAGGAGGGGGTCACACATCGTCCCAGAGGCTCCTGCAGCCTGGCCCCTGTTCAGTCGCCGCCCCTGCTGGGTGTGGGGGTTCGTGCCATGGGGCACCGCTGACATACGGTCAACCTTCATAGTGAGGACAAGCGACTTTCCAAGGTTACCCTTGCATCCTTCCACTTTGGCCCACTCTTGGCCGCTTTCGCTGGCCGCGCCCCGCTCGCAGAGTGTCGATATGGCTGTCCAAGGCCCTTGCATCCTCATCGTGCGTCCTTATTATACGGGTTGGCTGTATGTCTCTCCCTCCCTCTCTCTCTCTCTCTCTCTCCTTTTCCGCCTATCGCCCCCGTCCGCGGGCAAGGTCCTGGCGCTGGCGGCGGCTATGGTGAGGAACGTTCACGCGCGGGCGCGGGACGCGAGGGGACGAGCCTTCTTCCTCCCCAATCGGGAGAAGGAAGGAGAGGAGGGTTGGAGGGAGGCAGAGAGGGAGCGAGGGAGAGACTGAGGAGGAGGAGGAGGAGGAGGAGGAGGAGGAGGAGGGGGAGGAGGAGGAGGAGGAGGAGGAGGAGGAGGGAGGAGGAGGAGGAGGGAGGAGGAGGAGGAGGAGGAGGAGGAGGAGGAGGAGAGGAGGAGGGGAGGAGGAGGAGGGGGGAGGAGGAGGAGGAGGAGGAGGAGGAGGAGGAGGAGGAGGAGGAGGAGGAGAGGGGAGGAGGAGGAGGAGAGGAGGAGGAGGAGGAGGAGGAGGAGGAGGAGGAGGAGGAGGAGGGAATACCACAGTAAACCAAAGATGCAGCAAGGATCTGCAACACACCCTCCCGCCCCACGACCCCTCCCCACAAATCGTGACCAGCACCCCCCTCCGCTGCCAGAGGCGCCCGCGTTGACCGACGAGCGCCCCGTGGGCCTGCCGCTCGCCATCTCGCAGAGGACCGTTCCTCCATCCTCCGAGGGGTAAGAAGTGCACGGCCGGGAGGCCAGGAGGAGCGCACAGCAGCGGCTCTGCTATGCGTTCCTACTCGACATAGCCGCCCGGCCAGCCAGCATCATTTGAAGTAGCTTCGTAAGATCAGCCCCGCGAATCATACCTGACCCTCCCGCCCCCCTGGCCGGATTGCCTTTCTTCTTTCCGCGGGGTTTCAACCTTCGCGGCGACCCGTTAAACCCGGGACCTCTGGCGGCGCATGGATTTCTTTCTTCCGCGCGCGAGTTGCCAGTGGAATTCCTGAACCCTTCCCATTACCGTACAACTAGTACTTGAGCACGACTGGTACTATCATGTACTAGCGCGCAGTTGTTCCTAGAGAGCACATTGTCTTGCCGTGCAATTATTGGAGTGCAATTGGTATCATATTACAACTGGTAGAACTGCGCGCCCTAGTACAACTCCCTGGTACAAATCCCGATTGCTAGTGCAACTCCCTGGTACAACTCCCTAGTGCAATTCCCTGGAACCCCGTTGTACCACTCCCGAGTACAACTCCTCAGTGCAAGGAGTGCTCGTGCAACTCCCGAGTAGCATTATCCGATGCAGATCCCCAGTGAAACGCCGCATTGCGAGTGCAGTTCCCTAGTGCAACTCCCTAGTACAACCCCCTAGCACAGTTCCTTTGTACTAATGCAACTCCCGAGTGCAACTCCGCAGCGCAACTCCCCAGTGCTACTGCGACTCCCCAGTGCAACTCCCGAGTAGAACTCCCTAGAGCCATGGTGCAACTCCTTAGCACAGTGGGCGCTAGTATGAGCCCCCAGCACAACTCTCCACTGCAATCCCCAGTGCAACTCCCTATAACGACGAGTACAACTCCTGAGTGCAACTCCTCAGTGCAACTGCCTAGTACAAACCCCCAGTACAGCTACCTAGTACTAGCTCAAGTCCCTAGTGCACTTCCCAAGTACAACCAGTGCAACTTCCCAGTGCTAGTTGAACTCCCCAGCGCAACCCCCTAGCGCAAGGAGTACGAGTACAACTCCCCAGTTCAATTCAATGGTGCCAGTACAACTCCCTGGCGCAGCTCCGTAGTGCAACTCCCTAGTACAATGCCCTAGTACAAGTCCCTGGAACAAGTGGTACTAGTACAACTCCCTAGTGCAACTCCCCAGTACGACCCCCTAGTATTAGTGCAACTCCCTGGTGCATCTCCCTAGTACAACTCCCTAGTGCAACTCCCTAGTGCAATTCTTCACGCTTCGCGTATCCCCACCAGCCCATCTCAAAACAGCAACTCTTGCGGAGCATGCCGACAGTCGTGTTTTTCAGGCGTGTTTCCGCCTGCCCCCGCACGGGCCTCTCGTCCTGGTGTGAGTCGTTCGGGCCCTTCTTCCTGGTGTGAGTCGTTCGGGCTCTTCGTCGTGGTTTGAGTCGTTCGGGCTCTTCGTCCTGGCGTGAGTCGTTCGGGCTTCTCGTGGTGTGAGTTGTTCGGGCCCTTCGTCCTGGTGTGAGTCGTTCGGGCTCCTCCTCCTGGTGTGTCGTTCGGGCTCCTCGTGGTGTGAGTCGTTCGGGGCCCTCGTCCTGGTGTGAGTCGTTCGGGCTCCTCGTGGTGTGAGTCGTTCGGGCGCCTCGTCCTGGTGTGAGTCGTTCGGGCCCCTCCTCCTGATGTGAGTCGTTCCGGCTCCTCGTG